ACCACCTGACTGAGAGAGCCGTTGAATCTAAAGCTCACCTGTCTCCACGTCACCTTTCACCTCCTCCTTCTCCGCCTCCAAGTCCGAAGCCACCTGTTGGATCCAACATCAGCCACATTTTACATGGTGGATAAAAGCAGCTGACCTGAATGAGGCAGCGTCCTCCGACCCACCGCTCTGTCCAGGAGGCCGTCTGCAGAGCCGTGCGTCCGCAGGATGTCCTGCAGCCGGCGGCTGAACTCCTCCATGGGGTCGGAGGTCGCTGCTGCTCCCTCTGGGCTCCCAGCTTCCAGAGAGGACGGCGCGTCGGGTCTGGGAGGAACCACCAGCTCAGCTGCTTCCACTGACGTCTCCATCCTCACTCACTGATGGATGGAGACATGGAGGCCGTCAGGAGGAGGTGGAGAAGAAGTATTCCCACCCCTTAAAGTTTCCCTCATGCTGTCTGCTTCCAAACAAACTTTAATGTTTGAACCAGAACCTGTTTCTGAACAACCAGCATCATGAAGACCAAGGAACCAGCACTCAGGTTCTGGTTCTGGTTCCAGGCACCAGGAGGCTCTGGAGGAGCTGCAGCGCTCAGGTGAACTCCATGGAGGAGCCGGATGCTGAAGGTTCTGATGATCTTCATGATGGAGGCAGGAGTGGAGAACTTTCCAGAACCCACCAGGCTCGGTTCTGGTCCTGTACCACTTCCTGTTTGTCCAGCAGCTGGGTTCTGATGACTGACCTCGTTATTTTATCCCTCATGTTTAAAATTAGCCCTCCCCCCTCCCCCACCAGCTGCTGTTGTCTCATCTATTCTGAGGACGTCCAAATATGGGCGTCCTGCTGCCGAAGGCTCAGATTTTAGGGTTTTTCTCTTTATCTGCTTCATGTGATTCAGATCCATGAATCCCCCCCCCCCCCACCCTAACATCACCTCCACCTGGGGTCAGACACCGTGAGGTCCCGCCCTCTAAATAAAGCACCAATCACAGCGCCTCCTGCAGGATTTCAACATGTTGACAAACTCAGACTTGTTTACCTGCTGGAGACGCTGTCAGAGAACCAGAGACCTGGACCCTAAAAACCCTTCAGAACCACCAGGAGGAGCAGATCCACAGCAACCAGAACCAAGAAGTTCTGCAGGCCCAGAAAGTCCAACAGGAGGTTAGTGAAGCTGCCTGAAAATAAGAGCAGCGAAGAGACGAGTCCAACCAGATCCTGGTGCTGAAGGAGAGGAGGTGAAGAAGGCAGCAGCAGAGGGAGGTCAGGAGGAGGAGGAGGAGGGCCCTGCTGACGAGAGGAGCAACAGCTGACCCCCAAAATAGCCTGAGAACGCTGGCTGGGGGCCACATGGGGGGGCGGGGGGTCCAGGTGATGCTCCAACAGAATAAACTGGGCTGAGTTTGGTTCTAGAAGTTCTACAAACTTCAGCGGGTCGGAGACGTCTGCTGCCAGGGCCGCTGGGGGGGGGGCTTTGAGCCCATTTAAATACAAGAAAAATAAATAAATAGATTCACTATTTTATATCCTTCAGTTCACCAACTCAGATATCATCAGTTCTCAGGTGATATACGCTATTAATTAAACGGAATAATTAATTAAACACTATAACACATTAACAACGTAGATTAGGTCTTTTACGCAAAACCACAAGGTAATAATTATATTATTATAATATTTAAACATTATTGAACAGTTCTCCATTACAGAGAGAACACAGGATTAAAATAACTCTCTAAAAAACTATAGTTACGTTAAACTGCAGGAATAGATATAAAAGTGCGCGGCAAGCGCTTTTTTTTTAAAGAGTGGCAGAAACGGGCTTCCATACTGCGCCATATTTCCTCTTCCTTTCTGTCGTTAGACTATATTTACTAATCCCAGCGGGATACCAGCTCTGGCTGGCTTGATGTTGCCATGACAACATAACTTCCACAAACTAGTATTGATTAGACCTCTAAATAATTTAATCCAAATACACGTAATAGTGAAATAAAAAAAAGCAAAAATCATTTCCTAAAATATTCATAAAAACTTATTTATTGTGCATATTATTTTTAAATCTCCCTTTAGCCACTAGAGGGTGCTGCAGCACCCCACTTCCTGCAGCCATGTCTGCTGCAGTTTTCCCTCCATAATTCATCAGATTATTCTAAGAAGAACAGCCAGTTACAGGAAATAATCCCAATGAATAAATGTCTGTAATCTGCTGCTGTTAGATTATTTGCTTCATGTCTTCAGATTTTTATCAGATTTTGTCTTTTTCCTTTTTTCATCCGGAGGTTGATTCCATAAATTTCATCCCTCCAGATTAAGGTAATTTCTTTATGACACGTGGATACAAAAGCTAATTTAGGATGGATAATAACTGTGTTGTCATGGTGATAGGGGATGACCTTTGACCTTTAAAGGTCCTAAATTGGGTTCATTTTAAGCTGAATAACAGCAGAACGTTCCAACAGGAAGTCCATCTTCCTGCAAAGTCCCTCCAGGTTTTCCCAACATTCCAAGGAAACCTTCTAGAAGCTTCTGGGTTTTTGTTGCGTCTGCTTGAAGGTCAAATGTTCTACCTTTACATAGTCTATGGTTCCCTCCTGGTTCAGCTGAGACTGAGACACACGTGGAGGTGATTCATCTCCACCGGGGGGGGGTAGTGCCCAAAGGCGGATCCAGAACTCAGAGGAGCCAAACGTGCCGAGAACCAGAGAGAAAAGAACAGTTCAACAAACACTGGATCCACCATCCGGACATCCAGGGTTCCTGTTCGAACGTTTCCATCGGTAACTTCCACAGTTAGGAAGGAAGGAAGGAAGGAAGGAAGGAAGGAAGGAAGGAAGGAAGGAAGGAAGGATGGATCCTTTTTCAGGCCTAGAAAAACTATTCTAGATCACTGAACCTGGTGTGGGCCCCTCAGTACCCATCTGGAGAAAAGAACTCAGAACTGGAATGTTACGCAGGGAAGAGGAAACAAGATCATGAAACCAGAACAAGTCAAACATCTTTTTATTAGAGTTTTCTTTTGGAAACATCAGGAACAAAGATCTGAACAACAAATGAACGGAACAGTTCCTCTCAGATTCAGTTCTTTCCAGTAAGAGATTCAGTTCTTTCCGGTAACAGATTCAGTTCTAACAGATTCAGTTCTTTCTGGTAACAGATTCAGTTCTGTCTGGTAACTGATTCAGTTCTTTCCAGTAAGAGATTCAGTTCTTTCTGGTAACAGATTCAGTTCTGTCTGGTAACT